ATGTTAAATTTCTAACCTTAATCTAATGCTTGAAAATTTTATTGGACATTTTATAATAATGATGATGTATGCTCAAAACATGGAAGAGAATCAATAGCTGATGATAGTAACTCATCAAGCCTAATAGGATTAAGGCATAGAATATTCTGCTGTGGATGATATTATGATTTAAGCAAAATATAAACTGATATGAAGATGAATTTGATTTACATTCTGGGAGAAAAGTGCTGAGAAGGGGGTTATAAGACAAGGTCAACAAAAAATGTGGCAAGAAAGTCATTATTGGGAATCAGGGTAACCCTAAATCTCACCCCTTGTGGTTGGTTTTGGGATGGACTGATCAAGCAAGAGGAACCAGCCAACTTGAATATCCTTGGCAGAATTTCAAGGCATTCTAGAAAAAGCTTCCTGTGCTAGTGTTATTTTGGGGCTCTGGTGATTCATTTATACCCAAAGTTTCACCATGTTGCCAAAGGGCAAATTTCTTTTCCTGATCAGCATCTGCTTTTCTATTGGTTAGTTTGGAATTATGTGGTTCAATATTTTGTTAATTGATTTTGTCATCAATGTCCCTCAATCAAAATTGTCTCATCCATTTTTCTTATTATAATACATCAGTCCTCCAAGCTTCACAAACGTGTCAGAAAATGTGGATAAGTTTCTTTAATACTAACACAAAATGGCAAGAAAGGTGACTCACATGATGATATATAAAAGAATCTTTTAATCTTAGCAAGGCAAAAACTGAGTTCAACTTCAAAACCCAGGCAAAAGTACTGAAGTATAAAAAAGTAAAATTTTCTTTTATTTCCGCATACGTTTGTGAATGTCAGGAAGTTTATAGCTCAACGTTTTAAAGTTTTCTTCAATTTTTATCCCCATGAATTTTACATTCGCAATTTAATACCAACAACTTGAACAAATGAGCAAGTTTTCTCAGGTTGATGAAGAACTTTCTGAGTGTCTGTTACAGTTTTGCAGTTTTTCTCTCTTCCCCTGACGATTTGTATACTTTGAGTTAAAATTTATTAAAACTAAGCTGGTGAAATACACCGATTTCCAAGTTCCAGCAAGAATATTTTCAACTACATGAATTAACTTAAAACACATAGTCACAAAATTTTCAGAATCAAACTGATCCTGAAAGGGATTCTTTTTTATATGATGAGCCACTGCATCACAGCCTTCTGGGTCTTGACAAATAATTGAAAAACTATTTGCTTTGCTTGGGTGTCCAGCATCCAGTGCAAGGAAGCCATCCATCTTGGAGGAAAGTGAAGAAGAGTTTGTGATAGTCACAGAGTCCTCTGTGGAAGAAGAAACTCTCAAACCACCACTTGCAAGAAGCATTGATGGGGATGCATCAGCAGCAGTAGCAGTAGCAGCAGCAGCAGCAAACCCCATCTTGGAAAGGGCCCCCAGGGCAGGAGGCTGTGATGGTGCTGCCTTGCCCATCTGCACCCCTGGAGATGCCCTGCCAATCTGCACCCCAGGGGCCAGAAACACCACTGTAGCCCCCACCAATGGCACCACAGCACTTCCCAGGGCCTTCCTCAGGAGGTTGATTCAAGCAGGGTATCGCGTGGTGCCACCTGCCAAGTATGGTGGACCACCAGACCAAGCCATGGGTGAACTATATATACCAATTGACAAACATCCTCAACACCTATGGTTAAAAATGATGGTCTGTCAATATATTTTTACATTTTTTAAATTTCAGGTCTCCCTGGAGTGAGAAGCTTTGGTGGGATGCCACAAAGGTTCCCTGCTGGGTACCCTCAACCATGGGGACCAGTTGCAGGAGCCCCAGCACCAGCACCATATCCACCACCACCACCATTCCTACCAGCAGCACCATTCCCACCATCATTCAGGCAAAGACCCAATGTGCCTCAGCACCCAGGTTTTGGTGGTATGCCTCAAAGGATGCCTGTACCTCATCATATGATGGCTCCTCCTGCTCAGATGCCAATGAGGGGTTACCCTCCACCAGCTCCTGCCATTGGGTACCCTCAACCTCATAGGTACCATCAGAGTTCCCCAACCTTTTTGGGCTTGCAGACCAGCACATTTTTAATGAAATCCTTTGCAGACCGGCATATTTTCATAAAATTTTACATGGACCGGCAACGTTCCATAAAATTTTTGATGACCAACCGACAATTTTGAAATACCTTCTATACAGTCATAAAAAAAAACTTTTGTGGCAAAAATTAATTCAAGACCCCATGAAGCAACTATAAAATGGAAATGTCTTTTTTTTTAAATAGGATGCTGGACTTGAATAAATGCTTCTCAGGTTGAAAACTATAAGTAATATATTTCAGCAGGTGGAAATATGTCTGAATTGCTATTAGAAGGAAAACCAGCAATTCATTTTTTATCAGATAATATCATGAGTTCCTCAGGAAACATCAGTTTTCTTGCTGTAGTTAAAAAATATTTGTATTTAGAATGTGCTGACACTTGGTATCCTTTCTCAAACCAAAAAAAGGCATGCCAAAGTGCAACTGTTCATGGATGTACTGCAAATTGTTTCCCATAAGAGCATTGATTTTCTGTGTTTTAATTAAAAATGTGATCTAGCTTCTTTGTCCTGATGTAACAAAATAAGGTAGCATATGCAAGCAATATATAGAATTATTTCGATTTTTCAATGTGCTTTATAAGTCATATTTCCATGCCAACAAAAAGGGTTTGAGATACAATTACCTTTTCCTTGAGGTCAACTATTTTTATTGTATTTTTTTAAAGGTTTCCTCCAATGATGCAATATCCTCCAAGACAATACAGGCACCTGGAACAGGAATACATGCAAATGAAACCCAGAGAAAGGAAAGTTGCTGAAGAAGGTCGAGTGGTCCTGTTCCCTAAGAAACGGAAGTAGTTCATCTTTAACTTATTTTCAAGTTCAATAGTTTATTACCTTCGACGGTAACGTAAAAGGTCGATATGGTCGTTCACTAGTCAAATAGCCCAGTATTTTTGTGTTTTGTTTTTCCAGGGCCAGAGGTGTATTTGAAAATATTATTTTGGAGTTATGGGTCCTGTGAAGATAGGCAATTTACTGCCCATCTGTCTGACACTGGTCATTAGTTGGATTCAATATGGTGAATGATGAATTTCAATCATGTTTTCCATTACAAAAAAAAAACATTTATAAGGTTTTTTGCAGGTTCCTGTGAGGCTTTGCCAGGTGGGTGTCTCCCAGTGTGCACAGCAGACCCATGTGCAACCCAAAGTGCAGAAGTTGACAACCCCTGTGGGGAACTTCCACTTTGCACTCCATGGACTGGCACTTCATCCACTTCCCCCAAGCCTACAACCACTCAAGCTGTAGAGGCCCTGAGAAGGTTATTGAAAGCAGGATTCAAAATCTTGCCACCAGAGGCCCCAGGAGTTGGAGGATACCCCAGACAGTACAACCCCTATGGCAACTACCCCATGAACTACCCAGCCATGTATGGAGGCTATCCTCAACCTTATCAAAATTACCAAATGCCCAGGATTTACCAGCCTCCAAGACCACAGCAGCAGCAGCAGAAGGTGGCCAATAAGCGCCCTGGTGGTGCACCAGTGGCGCAGAAGGCACCATCACCTGCAATGATGCCACAACAGTACCCAAACTACCCTAGGCAAGGATTTGCCAACCTTGGAAACTACCAAAGGGCAGCACCTGGGCCCTTTGGTTACCCAGGCAAATAACTCAGAGAATGCAGGAAATGTTGACCACCAACTTTTCCCACAGCAACAGGGTGGTAAAAGGGGGGGGGATACAGAAAAAGATAAGTTGTGCAAGCAAGGGATATAGAAAATAGTTCTTCACTTCTGTTCTAAACTCTGTCTGGGGGGAAGCTGAGACAAACAAGTTCAGTGTGGTGCACTGTCCCTTACCTGTTGCCAGTGAGTCTTTCTCTGTTTGCAAATACAACCACCATCATTGTCAAAACAGTGTGTTTTGGGGTCTTTATTTTCAACTTCTGGCTTTCTCAGTGTTTTTCCTGGCTGTGTTTTTGGCAGCCATGCTGATGGTCTGCACTGCTGAGCAAGACTCCCTGGAGCCAGTGTCTCCATCTCTGGATGAATGGCCTCACATTTGGGGTGGTCCTTATTGGTACCCTCCTTACCAATATTTTCCCTATCCTGCAGGGCTTCAAGTGGAGTCTAGGGAAGGAGGGCATGGTATGGAACCTGGACCCAATTGGAAACCCAAGAGGACCAAAGGAAGAATCATGCACCAACACTGGTTGAAGATCATGCAAGGCAAAGCTGGAGGTGGCAGATACAACAAAGTGCCAAATGACACCTCATTGCCTGAATCTTCCAGATATGGTTTTGTGGGATAAAATTCCCCATTATTTGTAAAATTACCCAAAAGCACATCATTGTTCACATCTTTTACATGCTTCATGCACTGCTTCTGTGTATAAACATGACACCAACTTTACACATATATAATCATGCACCATCATGCTTATATAATATGCAGATAACCGTGCTTGGCTTTGAAATATATATTTCTGGGTTTGCTTGCTGCTGCTCTCTTGATCTGAACTATATATGCTGGCATTTTCTTTCATTCAGGAATACTTTTTCTTTAAATAATTGAAACAATCCTGGAAAAGGACAAAGATTGTAGAAGTGAGGCATCAGAGGATGGCATCAGTGGGGTACCAACTCCTACTCACAGGTTTGCTGCAAAAGATCCAAAAGAAATACTCTATACTTTCACCACACATTTATATATATGAAACCCTGGTTTAATGTTTGTAGTGGTGCTGTTGGCAACTCATCATCATCATCAGGGCTCATGCTTCAGGGATGGTAATGATGATGATTATGACAAATGCAACAAGTGCAGAACCTTGCCCATGTGCACCCCAAATGCATGTTTGCCATTGTGCACAAAACCACCATCAGCAGGATCATCATCATCATCAGCAGCAGCAGCATCCAACACTAGGGAAGGTGAAATGGTGAGTACCACTCCAGGGAATGGCAGAAGTGGTGATGGAGCGACACCTGCTGCTGGGCAAATGAGTGAACCACCTGGTGAACCACCTGCAATGCCTGATATGGGAATGATGGGTCCTGAAATGATGGGAGAAATGCCAGCAGCAGCTGATGAGATGATGCCTGATGCTGATGGAGAAGCCCCTGCTGTTTGGATGGACCCAAGATGGCACTTTAAGAGTGCCCAGGAGATGGGGAAGCAGAAGCCTGGGTTCAGGAGACCTGCTGTCTATTACCCTGTGGTTCTGTACCCCCTTGGGGAGATGATGAAGCAGCAGCAAAAGGCCCAGCACCAAATGACAGCCAGGATGTACAAACTGTGGCTGAGTCAGTACAAATACTGGCAAGCCAGGGCCAACAGATTTCCTTATGTCCCCATGAGAAGAATGTGAACCCCCCCCAAATATGTATTACTTTCACACACACTTGACCCAATGTGGTGCACATGAAATATATAAGAAAAAAATTGTATGCCATCACCTGTATTTGTTCTTTCTTTGGTTTGTATATATACATACATACATACACCAGACCTTGTGGAATTTCCAGCACAGTAGACTATAATTATACAAATGTGTGATATTTCAACTTTGCCAAATGGTCCCAAGCACAGGAGTGTGGGAAAAAATTCTTCAAGAGAAACCCAGGTTTAGTTTTTTTGACAAACTTAAACATGGGGAGGGAAGAGACATGTTTTTTCTTTTGGTTGGCCCAAGAAAACCAACCCTGGGTTGACTCTAGCCCCAGATATGGTCAAGAATCTGGAGCTCTTCACACATTCAAAACCAGCATTGAGTGAACTGCATCCCAGACTAAGAAACAAAAGGACTTTGATCAGTGTTCTTCCATGGTGTGAAGCAGGAAAAAAAAGGCACCACCATTGCATCAAAAGGAGAGAGAGAGACAAGGAGAGAAAAGAGGCGGCTTTTTTTTTTTTCTTCCAGCACCTGCTGAGGAATCTGCAAAACAGTGTCACCCACACTTGGTTCCCAGGGTTCTTGCTCAACAACATTTGCTCTTCTGCAGGGAAAACGCAATACAGGAAGAATTTCAACACCTGAAAGAGGAGGGGAAAGAGTATAGAGTGAGATATTACACACATGAGAAAAAGAAGTCTTCAGTGGAAACAAAAGTGTCATGATAATAATCCCAGCTTAGATGTTGTTTAGAGATGAACCAGTAAATTCAGACTAAAGGTGCAAAAACTCTATCATTCCTCTGACCTGCTTCAGGTGTGTGACTTGTGCTAAATAGTGCAGAGGTCTAACATCTTTGGTGTTTCCTGACATGGGGATCTTACACATTGCTGTTGTTTCCTGTTGCTTCATGCTCATGATATTCACCACATTCAATGGTATGCCCCTTTTCTTTATCCCTCCTTATTCATAAGCTATTAATACTACTTCATCAAAGCAAATGTCCTAATCCAACCATTGTAATCAAATTACATGAAATCATTTATGGTATGTTTACATAATTGAATGAAATGGTCATTTGTGAATACAATCACCTCTAAAAGTCAACCAGTCATTATTTATACTTGGATGGTCTTAAGAAATAAGCAACTCACTTCAAGAGACTGGGAAGATGATTTTTGTTCAGCTGGCAAGTTTCTCTAATTTTGAATCAAGAAAAGATGGAGGAGATGAATACACAGAAATCTTCAGGTCAGATTACAGTATTCATGTTTGAACTTTGCTTAGGTTTCTCATATTTATTGCAGGTTCTGTTGTGAAGAATAAAAATGATAATTACTCAGACTGGAGATAAAATTGCATCATCATTTGAGACATTGAAAGGTTTCAAGGAAATGTTGGTGCTTATACTTTGAGAGATTTTAAAAAATCAAGAATAAATGAGTAAAAAGTAATAAAATCCAAATAAAAAGTGTGTTTTATGTGGAAACATTATTTCTAGAAATTATTCTACAAAGTCTCTCAAGCAATTCACTGCAGGAAATAATTTCTGCAGCAATTTTATTATATCCAAAAAATGTGACAAATTACCGTGTAATAAACTAAAATGTGAATTGGGCATTTTCTTGAAATTGCTCTTATAATAATTTCTTTTGGACAGTAAGCTAATTTCTTCAAGCACGCATATTTTTCTGTAAGTTTCAAAGGCAAAGTCAAAACAGCATCATAGAGCACGTCAAATAATTATTTTCTTTCACGTTTAAAACGCTTGTTTTACGCCTCAAAATAAATTATAATTTTGAATGCATATGTATGTATGTTTTCACACCTTAACTCATTGCAGGATCTCCAACCCATTTTTGTCAATTCTTCACAAGTTTGAAGCTTGAAAAGCCTGCTGAGTAATGCCTAAAATGAATCATAATTGGGAATCACACACGGATGGAAAATCAAATAAAAATCATACTGTAAAAACTAAAAGTCACTTGCTAAATACACACATCATATGGCATTGCAACTAATATTATATTCAAGTCTGAAATGTGCCCATCAAATTTCCTACACAATATAAATTAATGAAACATAAACTATTGATCATTGATTTATCTCAAGAGATTAATAAAGGAATGAATGAAGAGCATAACTTGATCCAATTAAACAATACATTCATATTAGTGCAATCAACTGAATGTTGAAAAATGTGTTTTTCATTGAATATGTGATGGTCTGTATATACATAGTTTTGCCCCTTTCTGCTGTTGATGGTGGAATTGAACACATGAGTTGATTTGGTGTTGTTGATCAATTTGTGGCATATAAAATATATTGTCACTTATTAAACAAAAATTTTAAAATTGATTCCTGCATTAATGGCATGTATATATATTTATATATGCAGAAGTGGAGTCAGCACCAGTGCCAGATGACTGTGGCTGCCTGCCACTCTGCACCCCAGCACCACTATTACCCATGTGCACCAAGTGCAAGACCATCCCATTGTGCACCATCCGCCTCCTGCCCATCTGCACACCATGTGCAGTGGTGTCCAAGCAAAAGTGCAGGTCATCTGACCAGCAGAGCAAGCGTGAGGATGATGCAGAATCAGATGCATTCATATTCAAGAGAGATGAGGCCAATAAGTCAGAAAAGAAGAATGAGGACGAAGACAACTCTGGTAAGCCTGTTTACAGCCCATGAACCTTCCTTTTTTAACAACACCCCCTGATGAATGTGGAACCAAATTGCAACAACCCACAAGACCAACAGACACACACCCATTTACATAATGCCACGAAGAGACACCATCTCATATCCCCAACCTTCACACACACACACACACTCAACCCCTTGGCAAGTGGAGCACAAATCATTAATGCCATATTGTCAATCTCAGCCGTGTGGTGCTTTAAAAACAAGGTGATGCAATTTCTTCCCCTCATCTTGTGCAAACAGCAAAGAAGAAGCCAAAGGAACAAGACAAGAAGAAGGATGAAGGAGATGTGGAGGAGAGAAGCAAGCCCAAGAAGGAAGAAGGCAACAAGAGTGAATCAAAGCAGCAGAAAGAAAATAATAAGAAGCCAAATGAGAACAATAAGAAAAGCAAGGAGAAGGAGAAGGAGAAGGAGAAGATGTCAGAAAAGAAGAAGAAGAAGCAGCAGCAGAAGAACAAACATGATGCTGCCAATCCCAAGTACAAGATTGCAGATGACAATAAGAATAAGAAGAGCAGGAAGGACAATGATGACAGCTTTGAAGCTTTCTTGTCTTCCCTTGAATCATTTTGAAGTTTGATGTCAATATAATAAAGCTACCATGTCTTTCACACTCACTCACTTTCTTCTCTCATCTCATTTTATTACTTTATTTCAACAAATCAATAACAAAATTCTAACTTCGATCTTTGACAATTAATATGCACTCATTCCTGTTTAAAACAGATCAGCAGAATAATGAAAAATGAGTACTCATACTGACCTTCACTATACAGTATATGCAATAGACTGCAATGACTTGGCCCCAAGAATAAGTTGTTTTCTGTAAAAATTCTTCAAGTGTACAGAGAGAGCACTTTTTAAATTTTTATGAAATAAAGTATTGCATTGTTTAAGCAAGCATGATCATCTTGTAAGGAGAAATGAAGCACTCCACCAAGAACTTGATACCAAAGTGCTATGCTGAACTGATACTGTATACCGTAAAACTTTGTTGTAATGGTATTTGTTGTACCGGTATTTGTTGTAACGGTATTTGTTGTAAAAGTATTTGTTGTAACAGTATTTGTTGTAACAGTATTTGTTGAAACTGTATTCATTGCAATAAGATTTTACTGCACCAAGACATGATAAATACCCAAGCCACTTTAATCTTTGCCATTCATTATGCACATTTCAGACTTGAATATAATATTAGTTGCAATTCCATATGATGTGTGTATTTGGCAAATGACTTTTAGTTTTTACAGTATGATTTTTATTTGATTTTCCATCCGTGTGTGATTCCCAATTATAATTCATTTTAGGCANATATATATATATATATATATATATATATATATATATATTATATATATATATATATATGTATACAGTATATCTACATACATATATACACAGATCAGGAGAATAATGAAAAATAAGTGCTTAAACTGATCTTCACTATACAGTACATGTTATCCAATTCAATGGCTATTGGCTAAGAATAGTGTGTTTTCTATAAAAAAAAATTAACAAATATATAGAGCCAGCACATCTCAAATTTTTGTGAAATAAACTGTCAAATTGTTCAGCAAATCATGATAATGTTGTATAAGCAGAAGCGAAACAGTCCACAAAGAAGTTGACATCAAAGTACTGTATTCAGTTTCTTTTCAACCAGGAGTTGTAATGGTTCACATGATGGTCCACCAAAATCAAGATACACATGACTGAATCAATTGAAGTCCATTCCTGGGTACTCTGACTCTTCTTTTTGATATAAAAGGGATCCTGAATCTCTGGGAACCACCACCAGGGGGCCTATACAGCCTACTCAAGGGCCCCACTACACTTCCTGGGCTTCTGTAAATTGGAAACCCTGCTTGATGCATCATGCCTAGCCTTTGCCTTGGGGCATACATGGCTGCTGCCAAAAAAGCTTGTCTCCTTTGATGTTCTAGTAACTTAAGTTGCAAGGCTGCCTTCTGTCTCATTATTTCTGCTGCTGCCATCTGGTAACTGGACTTGAACTCAGGTCCTGTCTGCAAGTCAGCTGCTGGTACCACCTATATATATACAAGAGAGATGACACAACAAATGAGTATCTGAATTCTATCAATGGCAACAGCAAAATGAGTGCTCACAACATAATGTCTCCCTTTGCCATCCACCACAGTTTCATAGTTGCCATACTGAAGCCCTGGGACTGACTTGAACCTCAATTTCACTCTGGGTTTGACTTGGGCTTTGTCCCCAGCACTGGCCAGAATGAGTGAATCTCCCTCTTTCTTGAAAAGTGCAGAGTGAGTGTTGCAATACAAACCATGCAGCTGGTTGTTATTGTCTTTCAGCTGAGGTACATTTTGGAAAAGACCCCTTGCACCTGGTGGTGTCTCTGGCATTGGTCCAGGAGAAGTCAGAGCAACTGTTCCTTGTTCAGGAGACACACTAGTGACTCCCACAGGAGGTGTACCACCTGCTGTTTTCACAGTGGTACTACCTCCCTGAGCCATCATGGAAGAGGGCATGGAAGAAGTGACTGGGGAACTTTGCCCAGCAGGGGTTCCACACTGAGCAGTGGTGGTACAAGCACTGGTTGGCCTGGTGCACATTGGTATATGACTCCCCATTGGTGTGCATAGTGGCAGATCCTCCTCTGTGTCCTCTGTTGGAGGAAGTGTTGGTCTCTCATAGGGTTCACAGCACTGCTCAGGCAGGTTCTTGTGTTTGCAAACACAATAGTCTGGGAGTTTCCTTGAGGGTCTCTTGATGAGTCTGTGACTCAAGTGTTGTTTCACCCCACCATCCTCTTCACTCTTGGACTCATCAACAACGCGGAATGGGAAAATGCGCACTGGGGTGGCTGCAACTAACACAATTGGCACAGAACAAAAGAAACACCACAAAGAGAGGAGGAGGATGAGGGAGGTGGCACAGCATCATCAGAACTTTCTCATCAGGTGTTTCATGTTTGGGGAGTGGTGCCATTTGGACTCATCAGGGATATCATCCTATATGGGTAAATTATTGGTGCTTGGAAATTTTGAATTAACCTTTTCTCAATCATCGTTTTTGTGTGGGACAGATGATGACAGTCTGGGATAAATTATAACTTGCACAAGCTTGAATAAAACCAAATGAGAAAACTTTATAACTCAGGTCCTGCAATGATTTAAAAATTTTCAATCCTCATTAGTAGCATGTGTAAATTGGAGCAACACTGATTCATCATGAGTCACAATTATAGAAACCATTGAAACAATGTTAAACATACTTTCCAGCATTCTCATTCTGAAAATGGACCATTCAGCACATGCCAGTTTTGCAAAGGATTATGATAAAGAAGATCTCAATATCAACTGAACTTGAAGCAATAACTCCCTTGGATATTTCTTAGTACATGGTGGTACCTCACAATTTGACATCTCACAAATTTACATTCAAATTTGCTGGGAGGTGACCTTGCAATTTGACCTCTGTCCCACAATTTAACCTGCAGGATGATATGCAAAATTTCAAATTTGATTTAGAAAACATTGCATTTGAGTTATTTGGCTTGCAATCCAACTGCTTCAAAGTTTCATCATAGGGTACCACCTGTAGCAGCTTTTTCATTACAGAAATATAATCCAAAACATGAACTATTTGTAAAAGAAGGATCTTTTAATGCTCTATTATAGAAAGTGATTGATAGCATTTATTTGATCTTTGCAGAGAATCTAAATCCACTTGGCTGGAGTGCAATTCTTTGAGGCACTTGATACACATTGTTACCTTGCCTTGGCCTCACATGGATCAACTGTCTTGGGTATGATGGCACCCTTAGCATTTGAGAGGGCACTTGGGGTTTAAAAGAAGGAACAATGATTCTCTTGTGCATCTCCTGATGCTGAGGCCTCTTTCTTCTGAGCAGATTGTTGAAGGCTATCATGGACTGTGTTTCCCAAGGATTGGGCACAGGTACTAGGTAATGGTTACCCACTTTAATGAATTTATGTGGCTGAGGTCCTACAGCATCATCAGGAGGAAGGGTTACAGGCTTTTCCCTCTGGGGTTGTGCAGGTTGGGTAGGGAAATGTTCAACAGTCAGAGTACTTATGGACTTATTCCAGCCATCTCCTTCTCCAGCACCCATTGACCCTGTGGTTGTGGTTGCAGCACCACCAGCAGGAGAAGAAGAAGAGCCAGCCCCTGCCCCTGCAGCAGTGGTACCACTTCCTGATGATGAAGCAGTGGTTCCAGCAGGACTAGTGGCCTGCTGGGCAGTAGTTGGGGGTGGTCTGGTGCAGATTGGGATGTGCAGCAAAGGGGTGCAGATGGGCAGGACTGAGGTGCCATCCTCAGGGTCATCAGTGGAGGATGATGGTGGTGGTCTCTTATGAGGCTTTGCCTTTGCTTTGACTTTCCTAACCACTCTCAGGGATAAGACTGGGGTAGGATCATCAGGGTTAGACAAGGATTGGCTACACACTGTACCACAAACAACAGAACAAAACAAAACAAGAGGCAAAGAGAAACACAATGAATCATCAGGCAAAGGTTCCATATCCATCCTACAAACAAAAGCAGTCCATCCATCTCTTTTAAAGCACTCATCATGAGACACCATGATGCTGTTTGCATGGACAGTCAGGGGATAGTTATGCAATAAAAGGATAGATTAATCAATGTCACAAAACCAAAATTTCTCAATGATAGATGGATGGTCCACCTACTGAACAATAATGAGATGCAGCTTGAAGATTGTATGTGGCTCCATCTGCAAAAATTAAGTTCAGAATCCTGGACTTCTCAGGTTATTGGGTTTGAGAAATGATTTGAGCTGAAGTGCTGTACAATTTTGGAATTAAAAAAGGATTTACAAATCCTTTCTGTTCTTATGCAAAAAAATAACTGTCAACACATTTGAAGTGGGGTTTGTGAGCATCATGCAGTGTACTTTTCCTTGAGAGAAAAAGAAATCAGAGAATGCTTCATTCATCATCATAAAGTTGAGGACACAGTGTCAAGCCTCTGAGGATCCTGGCCCTTGCTCTTGCCTTTGCCTTTGCAGGTCTGGTCAATTCTAAGTAATCTCCATCCAGGTTGCCATAATCCTCAATTTCAGGATATGCTTGTTGTCTGTGGTGCATGTCCACCACTTTCCTCATCCTCTTGATGAGACCATCAAGCAAGCCCACCATCCTATGGCTTTGTGGTTTCTTTGCAGGTTGTCTCACAGGAGCTGGAGTGGTGATGGGCATTGGAGGGGTGCTGGCCCTGGTAGTGCTTGCTGTGGTGGTGAACTGGGCTTGGTACAGCAAGTAGTTGATGTGGCACTGACTGTGTTTTGCTCCATTAGTGGCAGCTATTAAAGCATCAAGTGCCAACCATAACTGTCATTTATTCTATATGGCATGCTCACATTCTTGGTTAATCAGTTGTCTATATAAAATAAAATTAAGGTGCTCCCAACATGCAAATCCAAAACTGACCAGCAAAAACTGCCAGTGTCCAATCCTGATCCAGTGATGCCACTTTCAGGATAACCATGTTTCCTACATATAGGAGCAAGGTGATACACTGAGTTGCTGAAAAGGCTACACCAACTATATACACCACAAAAGGGGTTCACTCACTTATCCAGGAAATGCTGGGTGTGCTCATCTGCATATAGTGGTGCTAAACATATGATAGGGATCATTCAACCTGGTAAAAGTCTTCATCAATAGACTCCAAGGGTTTATGGTTGTACAAATTGTCCTTGGGAGGCTTGGTCTGCCCAGCAGGGTAGATCCTGAACACTCCAGGCTCCACTTGAGCAGGTAAGTGTTCTGGTTGCTCTATTCCATTGGGAATGTTTCTGTGTAGTTGCCTATCCAGCAGCATCCTTATCCTGGGAATGTTCCATGGTTTGGTGAGTCTTTTGGTGGTGGTGGTGGTGGTGGTGGTGGTGGTGGTGGGGCTGGTTGACATTCCAGTGGTGGGCATGACCATCATGCGGTGCATGTCTTGCAAAAGCTTCCATGACATACAGTTGGGACCTTTGCAGTTCTTGCAGTCACCATCAGAAACTTGAAAACAGGCAAGGATAAGAAAGACACACATTTTTTGGGGAGGTTGGTTTTTTTGAAGAATGAAATCTGATGCAGAGGTGAGAGATTCAAAGATGATCTTTATTTTTTGTTATGGTGCCAAAAGGAGGTGGGTTTTCTTTTGCTTGCGCTTCCTTGGTACCAAATGGTCCAAGTGTCTATTCCTTGGTAATGGTGCATCATGTCTTCTGTTTCTTCTTCTAATAGGACCTTTGCGAATAATCCATCTTCGCTTTCCGGAACGTGGTCTCCAAGACTTTCCTGAGTGGACTCTAGGTCTCATGACCCTCCTGCTGGGCACCTGTATTTCTGGAGTACCAATAGTAGTGCCAATGGTTGTGACTGTACTACTACTAGTAGTGGTGGGTACTGTTGTTGGCAAGGTGGTAGTGGTGGTGGTGGTGGTGGTTGTGGTGGTCTGTGATGGTGGGTTGAAGTCAAACATGAGCATATCCTGTGATGGAGAATTTGTTTCCTGTTGGAACACATGCTGTTGAATGTAGGCCACATGGTGAGCCAGGGTTTGTGGAACTGATGAAGTGGTTGCAGGCATCAGCAGCTTCAACTCTGGGTTCTCAAGCTCAAACTTGGGAAAGTTTTGAAACAGGTGGGGATTAGGGGTCAAGTTATCCATGAGAGACAAGTGAAGGGCAGGATTAGGTGATGGAGTGGCTGCTTTGCCATCAGGGATAGTTGTAGGCAACAGCATGGTAGTGGGCCATTTCCATGCTTTTGCCTGCTGGGCCTGGGCTTGCTTTCTCATAGGCTTACCTCTCATCATCATCATGGGAAACCTTTCCACCACTTGCTCACTATTAAAAGGAATGTCCAGGATATGGAAACTGCTCTGATTACAAGGCAACTCAGCCAGCGAAGGTGTGTCTTGATGAGGAACAATGCTCATGATTCTAGGAGTGATGGTGGTAGTGGTCTTTAACTTTTTTGAAGCAACTGTTGCCTTCCGCTTGGCCATGGTTGAGACCTTTGCCTTATTGGTGGCAAGTGTGGTGTTGGACTGAGGTTTCTTAGTGACTTTTGTTGTGGTGCATACTTTGCACACTTTTTTTTGAAGAAGGAGAGGAACACAAAGGGGGATCAGAATTAGGTCAGGGTACCACAGCTTTCATTCCATGAGAGTAATTTGTTTCCCTTGACTCTTGCAGGTCTTTGTGTCATTTTGGTGTCAATCTGCAAAGAGTTCCTTTTTGTTGTGTGCTTGAAGATTATACATCAGTAGTAGTATTCTGATGGGTCCAGTTTAGTGTTGGTAGGACTAACTTTTGATGTTCTACTGAGGATGTTGTCTATATGGTGGTGATGGTTGTCAGAAGTCTTCAGCCTGGAGGCAAAAACTGAATGCCTCAATCTGCTTTGTGGAATCTGCTGAGTGTCACCTTGTAAGTATCTTGACTCTGCCAAACTTTGTTCAAACCCAGGGTTCTTGGAAAACTCTTCCATGAGAACAGCCAATAGCTGTTTCCCTCTGGCTCTCTTCCTGGCAAGTGAGGCTAAGTGTTCTGGTGAAATGGTGCTGGTTTCAGAAGTGGTGGGGTATGTGGTACTACTGCTGGTGCTCCAAGCATTTTGCCATGCAAGGAGTTCAATGGGGTCAGGTTGAACACAGTCTAGTGCTTTGTTAATGTAATTAACAAAGGAGGAGGAGGAGGTGCAAACAAAAATGCTTAGTTTTGTTTATCTTCTTTTGGAAACAATGAAAAAGACATGATTGAGGACAGGAAGGCAATGATCAGTCATACTCACCAATAAACAAGATGGCAGTCAAAAGAAGCACTCTGTGGAGCCCCATAATGCTGACTCTGCAGGACTTCCTAATAATGTATAAATACATAAAAATCAACACAAAGTCCTGGTTATAGATGTCTGACTAATTTAGGATGTGGATGTATATACCGTATTTACTTGAGTACCACGCACCCTCAAGTAAGGCCACGCGCACAGGGGTTTTTCAGTTGAAAATTTTGCAAAAATCCTATCCCTGCGTAAGATGCGCACCCCAATTTTTAGTGAATCTGAAACCATAAAATTTCAAAAATGAAAACAAAAATTTTGACTTTGGGCATGAATTGAACAAAAATTGGATCAATTTCCAACTTTTTCAGTACAAAAATGTTTTCTTCCTATATTTGTTCCAAATTTCTCCATTATAACTAAGTATAATGCACACATAACTTCCTAAAATTTCTTGACAATTTTGAACCTGCTTATGACACGCACCCTTTTTTTTTTCTTCTGAAATTTGGGAAAAAAGGTGCACGTGGTACTCAAGTAAATACGGTAATAGTCAACTTGGATCATTTTTTCAGTGTATGTGACACTTGAATTTGCTCATTTCCTGATTCTGAAATGCATATTTTTAAGAGGACTCACTTTTTGGTACTAAATACATATAGATCAACACAAAGTCCTGGGATAAGATTTCTGAATAATTCTAGGTGAGTGTGGATGCGTAATTGCCAACTTGGATCACTTTTTGAATGTCTGTGACACTTGAATTTGCTTGTTATCTTATTATTTCTGAAAAATATATCTTGAAGATGACTCACTTTTTGGGACTATACAATTGAAGGGCTTATTCAGTTTCCTGAGGCTGTTTCAGTGAGCAGTATAGATCAGGAAAGCAACACAAACTCTGAGGGATTCCCTGCCATCCCCACTAAATCCACACTGAGATGCAGCATTCTGCAAATAGACAGGGTTTTTTTTCTATTTTTTTTCATCATCCACCAAAAGCACAAACAAAAAGGAAGCTGGAAATGGATGAGAATGGGAAACACATGGAGGAAAATAGAAACAAGTTCTTCACAGTAGAACTTGGCCCAATTTTTGCCCCCCTCCTCCTCCTCCTTGGTGATTTCTGGGACGGAATTTGTGCACAAAATGGTGGACTTGAGGAGGCAAATATGAGGGAAAAGGAAGTTGATTTCCCACATCTTTTGCTCAACCTGGGTGCCGTTATCTGCACACATGAGCTTTCCAATTTTTTTTCCCTCCTCCCACAGCAGATTCTACCTCAATCTTTTTCTCTCTCTTTTTTTTTGTTGCCTGCCCACAAAACTGCAAGTTGACTGATTGATATAACTGCCTTTTGTTTCTCCCGTCATCTTGACCATGTGAGCAGTCACACACATTACCGCCCCCATCCCCTCCTGGGCACAATCATTTCCTCTCACATGGGATTTCTTTTGTATAGGGTTGCCAAAGCACTAACATTAGATTGAGACAAGCATGTGGAAGGGAATTGAAACCATTTTCCAATTCAGATCACTGGTTTATTTTTTGGTGATTTATTTTGAGGTGAAATATTAATTTTCTTGTACTGTAATTGAATGCACACAGTTATTGTGGGTGAGACCTTTATTATGGCATTCAGAGTTGTAATGGTGATCCAAAAACAAAACTGTACAAAGAATATTTTTATAATATCAAGATAAACAAAATGAATACACACATAAGAACAAAAAAATAGTATCCCGTTGAAGAACGTGGAGAAAATGCAAGAAAATACAGTATACAAGGACACCATTATTCAATTTTTCAATAGGAAAACATATCAAATGTATTTCAAAAAATATCAAATAGGGTCTCCATTAAAAATGAATTTTAAAAAATTTTTTGAAAAATAACATAACAAGATATTATTCACATAAACAATGTGACATGCAGGCATGAAAAGATATGTACATCAGGCCACTGGTTTATCATCTTTTTAGTATTTTTGAGGTCAAATGTTCAACTTCTGTACTGTATTTAGGACTGCAGTATACAGTAATTGAATACACAAAGATATGATGGGTGAGACCATTTTTCGACATTCAGAGTTTTTATTGTGACCCAAAGGCAAAAATTGTAAATCCACAAGAATTATGTTTTTAAAATGTTAAAAGAAAGCAACATGTACAAGAGTAAGACAAAAGAAAAAAATATCCCAATAAAGAGCATGAAGACAACACAAGAAAATACACAAGTACACTTCTTATATACACTTCTTCAAAAGTCAACATATATCCAATGCATTAAAAAAACAAATGCCAAATTGAGTTTCCATTATATATGAAATTGAAACAGTTACAGTATTGCACAAGGACATCACAAGATATTATTCACTTAAACATTGAGACATGCATACATGTAAAAGAAATTTTCATACACTTCATTATTCAGTTTTTCAGCAGTGAAAATGAATCCAGTGATGATCTGTTTTTTTTTAAAGGATTCAAAACACATGTTGCTCAAGACCCCAAGTAGATATCATACAAATATCATTAGAAATATAGAGAAAAAACAATATGAATGCAATTATAGTTTGTTCTTGTAGCAGTAAAACAAATTGAAGTACAATGTTTTAAACATAAAACATTTTCCTAAGCTTACTCAACCACAAAACAATCAAGGTATACACTTGAAAAAAGTAAATATATCTTCTGCCTTCTGCCAATATAGAGAAGAAACCCCCATAATGAACTTGTTTTTACAACACTGTAGAAATATCCAATGGGAATTTTTCCACATTCTGAACAAAGGTTTACTGAAAAACTTTTGGTTGTTTCTCCATGAAAGTTGGCAAAGGGATCAACCAACTGTATTTATACAGTAGAGAATCCATGAGACAACAAAGGAATCCAACCATTGCTCTCAGCCAAAGTTCCTAGTACAGAATAATCATCTGAAATTACATTATTATGTGAGCTTCTCACCGGCTTTTGCAGAGACTGATAATTGCTGAATACACAAAATGGAGCATCACTATCTGATACCAGTGAGTATATAAAATCTGTGACCATGGGAAAAAAATTCAGTCTCCAGTAATAATGATACTCTCCAGTGCATCATGTGTCATTTTTTCAGGCTAAAGCATTTTCATTATTTAAAAAAAATTACTGTGCTTTCTTGGCTTCTTTACAGGAAAAGCCAAAAAAATGGCACACGTTTTCACAAGCCCAGCATTTGTGCTGCTTATTCTGACATCATTTATCCTGATTACAAATTTGGCAGTGCCTGCAGATGCCAATCCAGCAGCTTACAGAGCAGATGATGAATCATCAGAGGAGGAAGAAACCAGCTTGGTGAGAAACAAGAGAGCTGATGATGATAGTGGATCCTCTGAGAAACCCAGTAAAAAGAAGACAGAAAACTTCCCCAAGGACTGCAACACTGCCCTGGATCCATGTGCATGTTTCAAGGCCAAATATCTGTGGAGCAGTGTCAATGGTCCTGATGATGATTAGTTGAGTTCATGGGGATGAGACTGAATAAACAAACTCTTCAAACCCTTCAAGATTTTGCATTTTGATTTCAATGAAATTTTCCAAAACTTCCAGACAAAAAGGCATAAAAAAGGCTCTTGTCTAACCAAAATTAGACACAGCAGAAACTCATCAATCTGACAATGTTGCAGAGGTCAGTTTCAAATTCATATTTCAATTCTAAATTGTTGCAGATAATTCAATATGCTCAAAATTGGGAATTCAGAAAAGTGCCATTGAGATCATCTAGCATAACAAAACCCCTCACAAATGGTTCAAGATTTACATACAATATTTTGATTCAACATGATAAGTACAATTTGAAAAAGTTGTATAGCCAGATGATAGACATAAAGTTTCTAAAAAAATCTTGTTGGCTGACCAAGATTTGTGACTGAAACTCAAACCTCCATGAATATGCAGAAGTCAGTTCAAAATCCAAATTTTCTTGATTAACATGTCAGTATATCAAAAAGCAATGGTTTGATGAGGTTAAAATCATAATTTCATACATGCTTGATTGGAATGTTGTTGTAAATGGGCTTAAAAACTTTCTTTAAATTTTATTTCAGGAATATTTTTTCATCCATGATGAAAATTAATTTTTGACAATCCAAGAGATTTCATGCTCAAAACCAAACTTTTCAACACTGGTGCAAAAGTCAGTGTCAAATACAGGTTGGGTAAGTTGTGCAGAACTCAGTTTCAAAACCAAGGTTTGCTTGATCAGCATGTCAGGAGCATCATCTAAAAAATAAAGGTTTATTGAGGCCAGAAAGATATATTCACATATTTATGATTGGAATGCTGTTGAATATATGGGCTGACAAAAACATTCTTCAATTTTTTGTAGAAACATCCTTTCATCCTTGATGCAAAGTAATTTTGGACAATCCAAGATTTGAGGCAGAAACCAAACTTTTCAGCACTGGGGCAAAATTCAGTTTTAAATACAGGTTGAGTAAGTTGTGCAAAACTGTCAATTTTTCAAAAGACAAATGCTTTATTAGACCAACAAGATGGAAATTGAAACAAGGAATTCATCAAAATTGGACTGAGAATTGAATTGTTCATCAAACTATCTTATTCACAGATGCAAAGCACAGTCTATAGCCTGTTTATTGATTGTTAAAGCCATTTATTGGTCCATTTTAGATACACATAAAATTTAGTCAATCTTTTGATATGAATGCAAACCATTATGTCCAAAGTTTAATGTTTTCTGAATCAAAGTGTGAGAATAAATGGATACTTGGATTCTTTGTATTATTAGTACTCATACTTTGATGCTTCACTGCACATACTCACTTAATGATACTTTTATGCATTCAATATCATGGTTTGGAGAGGGACTCTGACCACAAAAAGTGATCCAAAGAAAAGAAACAGCCAACAACCAGAAATCCAATCAATTCACAAATAAAAGCAGGCCATTTGCTGGCTCCAGTGAGTCAATATAACAGAGGCAAAACTAAATGTGTCCCTTATTTGTCTCTTGCACTATCCAATTTGCAGTTTGGGCACACTGGCAATCATATATATGTACACCTATTAGCAAAACAAAAAGGGAGACACTCTGTTGGTGTTGAATGAACAAAACAGGCAGTCAGGAAGCAGAAAGGAGTCCATATAGGTAACATGAAGCAGCTCTTTCTAGTTTTGCTGCTGTATTTTTCAGTGGACTCTGATGAGGCCTTGGGTTTCAGAGTCACCCTGAAACCCCAAACTACAGAACCATCCACTGGTGAGCACATTTGCAGAAACCCTTCTCAGGCCCCTTTTTTCATGTGTTATGTGTTGTGCATATAATTTCCTTAATTCAGAGTGGGTGAAATGGTTGATGGATGAGCTGGGCTTTGCCAAGTACCTAAAAAGCACCAAGAGACCCCCATCATCAGGAAGTGCCAGTCCCCTTTTCAGGGCCCAGGGGTGGCAGTACTTACCCCCAGCAATGTGTGCTAGTCAGGGGAAATTCCCATTCAGCAATTCAGACCATGTGGCAAATGCCCGTGAGTTTCACACAGTATTTTTTTCAGATTCTCACCAAAAAAAATGAATTCATATTTTGTAATAAAACAAATAATCATTCAAGAGTTCCAGATAATTTTGAAAGAAATGAGGGAGATCAAAGACTGTTGCAAGTGTGGCCCACAACCTGAGCCAGTCAGAAAGTACCCATTGGATGAACAACCAGAATATGTAAGCATGCCTTTGCCAAAATTGATTTTATATGGAAGACTATACAGCATGTTTTTTTTTACCACTGATTATAGAAAAGCTTGGATTCTTCTTGTGCACAGGGACAAAGCCTATCCTACTCCATTGTGAGTACATACATGAACATGTATCATTTATTTTTACATTAAAGTAATAAATTCCCACATGTAAAAAATCAAACCATGCCTTCATAACTCAAACTACACCAGAAACTATCAACTAAAAAATATCTGCACACATTTCAACAATCAGGAAGAAAAAAGGTTCAAAATTTCAAACTTTGGATCACATGAAGTGAAAATCAGAATATTTTATGTGATTTATGCATTAAAATATGTCAAATTTCATTGTCTTTTTTTCCTGGCAGCCAGCAACAGAAGAGAGTTCCACATCAGCAGAGGACCAACAGAGATCAGGAGCCAATCCTGCTGTAAGTTGTCCAAATGTTAAACTTGAATGTGTGTATGTACTTTTCCCTGATGGGAAAATGTCCTATCCTATCACAGCCATCAAGGAATGAATGTTGTCCCAAGAGAATCAAGGCCCCTGCGAGAAAGTTGACTTGTGTAAGTTTCACATATTTTCATTATTGGGTGATGAATGAAATCATTTGTGGTTTATAAATTTTTCCAGGGGAATTCAGCTTGGAAGTCTTATACAGGGTCACCAAACACTGTGAGAGATCTTGGCCTCATTCACTTTTTTTTTTGGAATCTTGAGTTTGGCTGATATATGCTTTTGAATATTTTTTTTTATTTGCAAGAAATGTGCTTTCTACAAGCACAAAGAGGAGCACAACAAGCACATTTTTGAGTGCACCTGTGGATGCCCACCTTTCTGCCATTACGAACTACTCCTAAATTCATGGGTATCCTGTCACCCAGGTGAGTAATCTTTAATGAGTAAACCGTTCCTACCTAGTAGTGTTCTTTTTCGTCACCTACCCTTTAGGTGACGGCTGATGAGGGCTTCAAAGGCAAGAAGAAAGTTCAGCAGAGTGACCACAAGGGCCAAGGTGACCAGCACTGCTGAGGATGAGGACTCAGAGGAGAAACAGGAACCAGAAGTGAGGACCACTACTGTGACCATGATGAGGAGCCCTATTGGAACTTCTTCCACTCTGTCCATTTCAAGTACCACTTTCCCAACCACCACAACCACTACCACTACCACAACCACAACACCATCCACCACCACCACACACACTACCCCAACCACCACAACTACACAAACTACCACCACCACAACAACCAAAGCTTTACCATTTCCTGAAGCCAAAAGTGAGTGGGGTTTTTATTATACCTAAGCAGTGCAATTCTTGTTCAAAATTTAATCATGAGTTGCTTTGTCACATTTTTAATAGGTATGGAGAATCCACCAATGATTCATGGTGTTGAGTCACAGCAGGGAAACTCCATGATGGGGGTGTCTGGGGGACCTGGACCAGTGCAACCCCCATCACACCACAATTCCCTGATGCAGTCTAACCCAGAAGGTTGACAATTTTATTCAAATCATTCAAGAATCATGTTTTTGAACTCAGAGAAATGCCAAGAACATTTCCATATAATGTACAATGCTGCATATTTTGACCCAAGGTCACAACAACCCCTATTTTAGGATTTCAAATGAAGTTATGACATTCACTGTGTTCAATGTCAATCAAATTCCACAACTGCAGAAAAGATATTAAAATTTCAAAAACAAATTGAAAAGCATTTACAATGAACCTCATCAATACAGAAATTTGTCAAATACAGTACATTTAAATTGTACCCCCAATTGTTCTTCCCATGCAAATTCTGGATTCAAGTGCATTTTCTAATATTTTAGTCCAACAAAAGCTGAAAAAGCATCATTTTTGATTTTTTATGGTTGGCATCTCTGCATGATCACATTGAAATATTCATGAAAAAATAAATAATTTCCTTTTGAGATCATCATTTCAACTTTATATTTGAAAAAGGAGGTCATATTTGCATTCTGAACCAACAATTTATTGAACTAAGCAACAAATTACATTGCTTCTTACTGATAAATATACATCAGTTACTTTAGCATTAAATTGTTACATAACAGAAACAATTGAAACAATATCCTTGCATTTTTCTTGCCCTGAAACTGGCTGCATGAAAAAAATTCTGATAGTATTTTAAAAATTATAAAATGGTGCTTCATTTTGCAATTCCTTTCAGCAGACAACACAAAGCAAGTCCTGAATTCTCAGCAGCCAGGAAAGGGCCAGTCAGGAGGAGACCCAGGGCCAGCAGATCATGGCCTGCCACCCCAGCAGCCCAGTGTCATGACCCACAAGGTCTCAGCACCTGAACCAGCAGCACAACCTGCCCCAGGCCAAGTACCATCATCATCACAAGCCATGCCACCCATGGACCAGCAATCCCCTGCATCAGGGCCAGGTCCAGGTCCAGGCCCAGGTCCAGGTATGATGCAGCCACAGGCATCACAACCTCAAATGGGCCCAGAATTCCTGCCTCCAAGATTTGAGGTGCCACCAGCAAATGCTGCAGTCTTCCATCAACCAGCATTTTTTGAACCTGCTCCCAACACATTCCAGATGCCATACAACCCTGAGGGCAGTAGCAATAATGCACCACCAGGGATGATGCAGCAACTGCCTCAGCAGCCAAGGCCTGCATTCATTTCAGGCACTCCTTCACCTGAACAGTCTATGATGATGCAAAGGGCACCTGGATTCAAGAGCAGGAGAGACACTGTCAAAGAGCTTCTTGATATTGCTGATCAGAAATCTGATGATAAGCCCTTCATGCCTGGCTCTGAAAAGACTCAGCAGAAAGCCTGGGCTGCCATGGGCCGCTTTGGACGCTGAATAAAAAATCTCTCCTGCATTCAGTCCATTTGTAAAATTGTGCTTTTCTAACTGTACCTCTGTTATTTGTCAAAACTTCACATATGTTCCTATCTGTTTTCCCATTAGCTACATGTAAGTACCCACACAAAATCAGAATATTTTAAAAATTGAATTTGTCGGCTTTACATTTTTGAATTTTCACACAGAAAACCAAATTAAAAGACATTCAAATGTGCATACCTTAATGCTTTTCTATTTAATTCAATTCATATTTCATTGCTTACCTGCATGTATCCACACAAAATCTAAATTCTTCAAACCTAAAATTTGCTAGCTTTGGTTCGTTTTATTAATTTTTTTAGATGTTGTACACTGAAAATCAAATTGAAACACATTAAAATGTGCATAACTGGATTATTTCCAATTTAAAAAAAGGAATTATTCCTGTGACACAGCACAAATGAAGACTAAAAGTGAAAAAAGGACCACTCAAACAATACCGTGATTGGATCATTATCTGCATTATGGTAAGACTACATTCCTGGGTGTCTTATTACACATTCTGGGAAAAAAATCAAATGAAACCATAAAGTATCAAAATACTTCACTGTTCCACTGTCTGGACCATGAAAACAGTAGAACAGGTAATTCCAAACTCATGCACAGGTGAATCTTTCTCCTGATCACAAATATCCAGTTTCTTCAACATGGGCATCAAGGGTAATTTCCTGCTGTAAAATGTTTATGTTTGTACTGTATTAAAGTGCAAGTTTTTGTGTGGACTTTTGTTAGTATGACCTCTTTTCATTGAAAGGTATCTCTATTTATGATGTGATTTATATAAATTTTCAAACTAGCTCTTCAGGAAAATCATTATTGGAGTTTTGAGTCAATCAATTTTCATCAATTTTTGGATGATTTGGTCCTCTTTCTCTTGAGTTTCAAAAAGCATGGAAATACAGCAGTTGAAGTAGAATGAGTGCTACTTGATCATGATATAAAAGCTGATAATAATATAACCAGCCACCCACAAAGCATCCTGGAAACTGCTGCAATCAAAGTCACTCCCCCTTGAGAACAAGGAAACAGATTGCAACACTTGAAACATTCTCCTGGGAACACAGCAGGGGAAACTGGCTCAAACCTTCTTTGATGCATACAAAACAATTCTCTTTTGCTTATCAGACATCTAATGGTCAGTCCAGGGCAGACATGGTGCTTGCAAAAAGCACCCTGGGTAAGCTGCTGATCCAGCTGTCACTCAACTTTTTCACTGTCCATGGTTTGCTAATCAGTGATAGTGCCACCACCTCATCAAGTGGTTGGACAGCTGTGGAGTCCTTGACAGTGCCTCCTGCAAGTATGTTGACTTCCCCACAGGGCATCAGTGAACCAACAACCAACTCTGATGCACTGTTATTGCTAAGTAAGTGCAAGAGAGCTCATGACTGGTGGATAAATTAGAATTTGTAGCAGATCTTTTATTTTAGGTCCCACAGCAGCCCCGAAAAAGGCATCATCAGGTGCCCCTGCTGAAAAGCTGCCTTCCAACCAAGAGGTCATCCAGAAGGCAAAGGAACTAGAGCAGTCCATTGAGGCCATTATATCTGCAAATGCTCATGCACAGCCAAAACTGTCCTTCAACTCCCCAGACCCTGGGACCATTGGCATAGACAGAATAGAGAACAAGACCAGCAGTCCACTTCAAATTGCAAGGTCCAATGAGTACTATGCACTGCCTCCATACTATGCCAAGATGTACAAGGACATTTGGGCCTCAAACCAGTCCTTGCCCAAAGTCATGGATGCCTACAAGAAGGTGAATGCTCAGCCTCATGAGGTGCCAAGAGTGCCAAGGTCAGACCATGTGCTGCAAGAGGTACCAATAACATCAGAGGATCCACTCCAGGTGACCACACCAGACTCAACCAATGCAGAAACAAAAGAACCAAGCACCAAGGACCCATACTTTAGGTACTATAAGGCAGTACCAATCCCTGATTTCATGAGCAATTTGCATGAGGCATCCATTCCAACCAATGACTTAGTGCATGGTATTGGGCACATGTCCACCAGCAGTCCTACACCAACAAGCCAAGAGTCCTCTTCACCTGCTGTGGTGCCACACAATAGGAATTCAAAGGACACAAGTGCAGAAAAGTTGTGTCCTCACTGTGGGAAAACATATGGAGACACTCTTCAGCAACACATGGACCAAAATCACCATCCAAGCAGATACAGTCATTTGATCTTGGGTCACAATCAAGAACAAACCACTCAGGGGCCAGCAGCCAGACTCAAAGCCCAATTACTCATGACACACAACAGAGCCCTGTCCATGCTGCCAAAGTTCAAGGAATTTTACAAAATCTTGACAGTGAGTCCAGAGAAAAAGGGACTCTACAAGTACCACTTGGACAACAGACTGCAGCCAAAGATGTTGGGTATCAGGGAGCAAATAAGCAGAATGAAAGCCAGACAACAGCCTCAGAAAAATAGTAAACCCCCATTCCCTGAGCCTTTCCATGCCTCTGACCCAATCCTCACCTTCCATGAAAGGATCCAAAAAAACATGTGCACTCAAGGTCCTCCTCCAAGGATGTCCATCATCAACCCAAACCTGAGCCCTAAAGATCCCTGGCCGGTGTTGGACCCACTGGACCCCATGAACCTTCAAACCACAACTGCACTACCTAAAGCTGGTGCCATCCCTTCATCTGTGTTGGACCAGCTCTTGAAACTCAACCTCAAAGAGTTGGTGACCAAGTTGAATCTGGATGCCAGTGTGAATGACAAGGGCAAAATAGAAAGGACAGACCTTCAGAACTTTCTTGAGAACCACAAGCCTAATTTGTGGAGTCAGCTGGCATCACAGCTGACTTCCAACACAACAGAAAATTCCACAAAAGCAACAGCCAACACTACAAAGGTGACCAAGAAAATTATTACCACCACCAGGACATCAAAACCCAAACCCACCACCACCAAGCCAAAGACCACTCAATCCACACCTAAGAAAACCACATCAACATCAACCACTCAATCCACACCTAAGAAAACCACATCAACATCAACCACTCAATCCACACCTAAGAAAACCACATCAACATCAACCACTCAATCCACACCCAAGAAAACCACATCAACCTCAACTACTCAATCCACACCTGAGAGAACAACCATATCAACTTCAACCACAACTAGTCAGTCCATCACTGAAGATATAGAAAGCTCAGAAACAAGGGCACAAATAATGAGAAACACAAATGAGAAGATGGATACAAATTATGATTCAAGCATGTCTGGTAAAGTTCATGTGGACTCTGAGACCACCACAAAAGCAATTCAGCTTACATTGACTAACATAGACTCAACTCCATCCACCACAACTTCTTCAGGGTCAACCCTGGAGCAGCACAAGCATCATCCTCATGACAATGATAAGTCCAAGGAGTCAGCAAAGAATGAAGCTGCTGAAGGTGCTTCAAAGACAACTGAAGCTGACTCCACAACTAAACCAAACCCTACTACCTATGAGATAAGGAAGGTGAAAATCATCAAGATGAAGACTTTGAGAGGTGAATCATCAGACTCAGCAGAGTTGCAATCAAAAGAAAAGTCATCCCAAGGCTCAAATGATCAACAACAACCAATAAGTGCACAAAATGTTGAAGAGGATGAAAAAGGCAAGAAAAAGAATAAGAAAAAGAAGAAAGTGTCTGCAAAAAAGTTTAAAATTGTTGGCCCTGAAACTCTGCCCACAGAGAGAATGTCCACAGAGGAGTCCAATGACAATTCATCACCATCAGATTCTTCCACAGAGAAACACTTGAACCCCAAGGACCCACCACAAAGCCTTCTGACCGCTCAAGACCTAGACAAGCTGGAAGATGACCTGGAAAATTCCTTTGCAGTCAAAAAAGCCAGGAAACCCCCAAAGAAAAAGACACAGAAGAAGAAGAAAAAGATCAAGAGAAAGTCCAAGAAACCAAAATACCAGGTCAATGACAAAGCGGACAAAAAGCGACCAAAGCGCAAAAGCTTCATCCTGAATGCTAAAGACAATGGGTATGCTGTTATCCAGACCACCATCAAAGATGTCACCACCAAACAGCCAACCACTCTTTTTGACCCTGCAGAACCTCTAAGGTCATGGCAAGTAGAACCAGAGTCAGATTATCCAGAAGTCATGACCTCTTCTGAGCCACCATTGACTGAAACCTCAACTACCAGTACCATGGTAGTCCCTCAAACCACATCACAAATCATGTTTCACCCTCACCCTCACCATCACCCCCACCATCCCCATCAATTGTACCAAGTATCACACCTGCTCAACCAGAAAACCTACAACCAGATGCCCATCAAGAACTGGCCAAGTTATTCTTCCTGGGCCACCCCACAAAAAAGGTTCATATACCCATCAGCCTTGATGCCTGGCAACCTGATGAGACACCCTGTGAAGGTCAGACCATTGGGAAGGTTTCAGTCAAGAAGCAGAAAATTCCTCATCAACCAGCTCCCCCTGCGCAGGCATCCATACCCACTGCCTCTACACCAGATGTCACTCCCAATCAAGGACAGAATGGTCTCTGATGAAATCCCTGCAGAGGTCTACACACTCAAGAGGAAGAAGAAGAAGAAGAAGAAGAAGACAATACCAAAGGTGAATATGCTTTTGAATAAAAGCTCAACTTTATTCAGCACTTGATCATTAATCATTAGGTGATATTGAAGAAGTTGCTGAAAAGGGAACCTAACCCAGGAAGGCTGGACCCCATTTCCAGGTTCAATAATGATGATGACCTGGACACCGACTTGTTTTCTGATGGCTGGCCTGAGGACAATTTCCCTCCATTCAGTGATGAACTGTTCCCCAATGACAGAGGGATTGTGGTGCATGTGTCCCCAAATAAAGGCAGAAGGCAAAATATCTACTCTGGAACTTGGATCAGTGGAGATGGGACAAGATGGAGCCACCTTGGCAAACAAGAGCCCCACCATTTTCTGCAAAGTCATTGGGTGTGAAATGAAATGATTTTATTTGCATGGAACTAACAAAATTTCCCTTTTTCCTTTGCCTCTCTTGCCTTGGCCAACAGGTCAATAATATTCCTGACAATTTTGGACAATTTTGACAAATTATCAGCAGGGCCAAGTGGCTTCTGAAAAAATGTTGGTGCAGTATTCTGATAGTGCAGATCTTCTTCAGGTTCTCTTGAATCCACAGCAGTAGATGGCATTTCAGCTTCAAAGATAACTATGCTTTCTGGATGCCTCTTATCCTTTTGGTACACTCTGAGGGGTGAACTACTGGTGGTACCAACAGTGGTATTTGACTTATTGATTTTGAAATAGTGGGTGCTGTGATTAGGAGATGGTGCTTGTGTAGATGGTTTGCTGTAGTGGCTCTTGTGGATTTCCTTGATATCTTGCAGTTCTTTCTTCAGGTAGGCCATTTCTTTGTCCAACTTGGTCTCCAGAAACTTTTTAAGATTTTGTCCCTCAGCATGCACAGGGACATTTCTGGACTTGATTTGTGTCTTAGTGGTTATCAGGCCATTGGTTACCCCAGATGGGGCAATTGGGGGGTGTACAGGGATGGGGTGGTCAGAAGGCCAAATATGTTCAGAATGGTAGCCATTATAGTCATCCTGTTGGTAATGAGAGGCTTGCCAGTCCCCTGGTGGAGGGGGATAAGAGAGGATGGGTCCACTTCCTGGTTGTGCAGGACCTCTGATGATTATCCTTGAACTGCAGTACAACATTGGAAACAGTAAATTGTAATCAAGAATATGTGAACCATATACTATACTGAAACTCAAATCACACTTATTTGTATATAGGAATGCAAATAAGAATTTCATTGTTCTATATATTCAAGACATTGTAATATCTCAGTGTTTGTGAATAACTATCAGACTGCAAAAATGTTCATCTACGTTCATCAATAATATGTAAAACATATACAGGTGGTACCTTGCAATTCAACCTCCCAGAATTTGACCATCCCGCAATTTCATGGTCAAATTTGTTGGGAGGTCTCCTCTCAATTTGACCTCTGCTGTGCAATTTGACCTCTGGAGAAACATGAAACATCAAATGCCATGTAGAAAAAATGCCATTTGACGCTGTCTCACAATTTGTCCACTTCGAAATTTGACGTCAGTGCAGCAATGGATTATAGTCAAATTTCAAGGTACCACCTATAATTAAATTTGTTTGTAACTTCTATATACATTTACAAGGACTTTAAATTTCCCTTTCATACTTTGGTTTTTAAATTAGAAAAGATTTTTAAGCGTGTTTATGAGGAATTTTCCTCTCTGAAATTGCTGCTGTAAAATCAATGTGTCATTTTTCTTTGTAGTATCACAGCATGTCTTACATAGCCAGGAATTTGAATTGTGGTCATCATGAAAGACATTGTGAGCATCTTTGAAAATGGTAACTTTGAATTCTTTTTTACAAAGAAATATGCATGTGAAATGAATCCAGATGGACTAACCTTTTCATGGCTTCTGATGGAGGTCTGTAGATGACTTCAAAGTTAGGAGGTGACTGTGAATGTGGATGGTAAGCCTTCACATCAATAGGCTCCTGCATGTCTTCATAAACATAGAATCCATCACTTGCTGAAATGTTAAGGGACATGTTGGTGCTGGGTGCTGGTGAAGTAGTGGGCACTTGCTTCAGGATCTCATTTGCCCTCTTGTGCTGGACAGTTGGCTTTTTATGCAAGTGATGATGAAGGGTACTTTTAAGGGTCACAGCAGGTGGACTGACAGGCTTTTGATTCCTTACAAAAGCTTTCTTTTGAAAACCTGTCAAATCAAATCTGTCATCAGAATGGTAGAGTTGTTATTAGCAGGAGTCATTTACCTTTTATTGGCTTATTAACACTTTTGGCAACTGTGGTGGTCTTCTTTTCAACTGGTTTGACAGTCACTGTTTGAGTTTTGTAGGACCTGGACCCATTCATGGGCTTATCTTTTGCCTGCTGGCCAGCACTCAAAGACTCCATGGACACCAAATCTTCAAGCATGTCCAACTCCCTGGAAGTTACTTGGCCACCATCATGTTCTAAACTGCTGAAGGTTTCATAACTTGACAATGTCAAAGTGTCAATTGTTGAAAATCCTTCAATATGGATATAAAAATGAGACTGTAATACTTCTTTTAGGATAATTGCACCTTATTTTGGGAAATTTGGATCACCTGTGCTCCCAAGGCAGAAGAAAATGCTGGGGAGCAAACTGAGTCCTGACTGAGAGCTCATCACTCTATAGAAGCACCAACTGAGGCTAAATTTGGAAAGTTTTAGCCCACCCTGCTTGCTGGGGACTCTCTTGTACTTGAGTGAGGGAATGAAATGCCAATATTTGATCTTGGTTCCATTCAGAGGAATAAAACATCTCAGGGGACAAAAACATGGATACTTTCAAGGTGGGCTATGCCTGATGCCAGATTTGGGTATATTGTTTTGCCAAAGTCTTATCTTCCCTTTTTCATTTCTGATCTTTTTTTTTTTTATACCTATGATAAAAACCCCTTTAAAAGTTTTGATAACAGAAAAAAATAAAAACTGAGTAGAAGAGAGTCAGTCAGTGGAGAATATGCCAATAACAAAATATATACATAATTCTTGGAGAAAACACTGGTGCTGTATATTTCCTTCCTTTCTTTCACCAAACAGTACATCATTCAATGTCCAAAGTCATACTTGTGTCTATTCAAGAACGCAGTCTTTGCAGATTTATCAGGTTCTTCAAGCAGGGTGTCATTTTCATTCTGAATCATCACCCTGAGGATTTCTTCAGAACTCTCATCAGGTGGTAAAGTGTTTGGTTTATCAGCAGTGCTGCATTCATTCCCTTTATTGGGATTGAATGGGGAGCTTGTGGTTCTTTGAGATGAGGTCTGGCTCCTTCTTGACAACTTGTTGAAACTTGGTGCCTTATTGGTGAAATGGTTTTCCTTTATGTGTCTGCTGGGGACAAAATTAAATAAGTGCAGTGAGACCCTGAAATATGGACACCTCAACTTATGGATGATTTGACTAGTTAGGGACACTTGGAACTTTAAAAATCTGACCAATGAAAGTGACTCAAGATACGGACAATTTTCCAAGCTTTTTGAAAGAATTAAAGCATTTCTTTTCAATATTTGTAATTCTAAAAGAAATTGAGCTATTTTTATTTTAAAATGCTGAAAATTCAATATAAAATTACCCCAATTCATAATCAAAAACAGGCTAATTTTGCATTTATTCAGTTTTTCCATCATGTGTGTTCAGTAAAGGTGGTACATTGGAATTTTACCCTAATCTGTTGCCAAACTAGGGTCGAATTGCAAGTCACTAGTGAAAATCAAAAATATCAGCACAGAAATGTGAAAAAGTGGCCAAACCAGGTCAAATTGCGGGGCAAGGGTAAAATTGCAAGTTGACCTCCATGCAAATTTGACCCTCAACGTGTGAGAGGTCAAATTGCAAGGTTCCACCTGTATATAGCAAGACTTGCTCTTGTTTGTTGTTTCTATTGAGTCCCTTTTATGATGCCAAAAGATCAGAACCTGTATGGTTTTCTTCTGTACAATTATTTTCTGTATCTTATTTGAAGTTGAGAAAAATTATTTTACTCAACTTTTTGCTGCGGTACTTTTTTCTCAACTATTCATCTTCTGGTGGGAACCCATTAGAAATATTCCCATTGAAGTCTATGGGGAAATAAGGTCTGACATGCAGGCATTCTGACTAATGGACAATAAGGTACATGTAACAATTATGTCCACATCTCGGGGTCCCACGTATTTACATCTGGACAATACGTGAATAACTTCAGTTTGAATCTCTTTTTGTGACTTGCCTGGGGCTCCTTTTATGGTATGTCATTCTCTGTGCTTCATACTTCTTCAGCCTGTCAACCCTGTCCTGAATGCTTCTGAGCAAGTCCAAAGTTCTCCTGTTCCCACTTGCCAAGGTTGTTGTTGTTGTTGTTGGTGTTGTTGTTGTTGAGGGTTCAGTGGTTGTGGTAATGGGAATTGCATAAGCATGTTTCTGCAAAGAAGACTTTTCCAGTTCCTTCAACTCAACTTTCAGGTCTCTGACCAGGTTAACCAAGCGCTCAGCAACATCTGGTTCCACCAGATTGGAACTCAGCAGAGCTGGTTTGTTGGCTTTGGTCTTCTGACTTCTCTTCTTTGGCAATGGGGACAATTGAGAAGCAGCAGCAGCAGGTATTATGACATTGATGGGTGGGAGAACTGGCTGGATATTCCGAGAGTACTGAGGCTGATGAGGGGCATTAGTGGAAATGATTTTATCATCTGTGAGGTATGTTATCTCCTGTATATGCATAAAGCAAACAAAAAAACTGTGAGATCCTGTGAAAACAATTCAAGGTAAAATGTGTAACAGACCTCTTTCAGAAGGTTCAGCAGAGAAAGGAGCTCATTTCCAAGCTCATCCTTCAGTACCAAGTCATATTTGGGGGACCTAGCAATATTACTCTGATGGTTTTCCACTGATGAACCCTGTTTCTGAAGGTCAAAGGATCCCCTTCTTGTCAGGGCCTCAAAGGGGTTGATGTGTCTCTTCTGCAACATGCCAGGGATCATTTCCAAGCTTTCATGATCACCCAGGTCAAGTGGAGGCAGACTGGGCTCAAGGCTTCTCTTTGCCAGTGGTTTCAGGAAATAGTCCTGATAGTCTTCCATGGTCAGGTCTTCAAAGTTTTCCTCACTCACCATGGCTAAGTGAATATGTGAGGCAATAAGGAAAGAAGACAGTTTTCTTTGCAGAATGAACTCACCATGAGTCATCAAGGGGACTACCATGAGTATTGATATCCACAGTGAGAACATGATGATGATGATGATTCACCAACAGAAAAGTGGGACTTATTGCACACTGAAATGAAAACTGCAGTCCTTTTGGGAGTAAGTTTTATTATCTCCAAGGTATTTGGGGAACTTATGGATCATGGGCTATTTGAGGAATTTCTTCTGGGGTGTGAGAATCTTTGGGGAATGTTGGTCAGCCAGGGAAAGCAAATTCTTCATCTGATCCTTGATCTCAAAGCCCAATGTTTTCTCCACATCCTTGAGTTTCTTTTTCAGCAGCTGTTCTTCTGCATCCACTGACAAAGAATGCCTCTTCTGCTTCCTGGCTCTTTTCACAATTTCTATACTGTCCTTGAGCTCCTTGATGGCCTTTTTCAAATAGGATTCCTGTGCTGAGTTTCTTTTCTTGATTGCCTGTGCTGTGGATGAATGTTGCTCTTTGACAATGTTGCCCTTGAGGTTCATCACTTCCTTCTGGAGCATTCCTATCTGTTGGGGAGAATATAATAATGGAATCATCATCAAGTCAGATGTGTGTAATTTTTTTAAACAGCACCTGAGCAGCAAATTCAGCTTGCCAGGAATCCAGACTCATGCCAAGCATCTTGTCAGATGCCTGTCTCTTCTGCTGTTTCCCATTCAGCAAGTGCTTATGTCTGGTGCACAATGGCAACACATTTTTGTCAGTGTCCTTGTCATTTACAGGGAGTCCTGCAAAATAAAATGCAGTTTCAGTATGCATATACACTTGACTGAAATGAAGAAATCACCTTTGGCAAGCAGAGCACAATAATATAAGGAAATTAACAAAACCAGCTGGCAGCATTTTGCCATCTTGTTTTCCTGGCTTGCATGGACTAATAAGGAACCTTGGCCACCACTTTTCAAATCAAGTCAAGAAAAAAATAAGCAAAGGTTGTGGGAACACTTTCCCAGGTTTGGTTCAAGAGCTTTGACTCTTGGGTGTGGCCAGGTTGGTCTATAAGAGTTTCATCAAGATAGAAGTAGAATAAAATACAGCATGGGAATAATATAAAGAAAGAGAGAGAGAGAGAGTTACAAAAATATACATTCCAGGTCAAGTAAACATGGCTTGGTGTACAGTGTTCCCACAATAAGGTGTTTAGGAGGACATGTGTGTGTGTGTGTCCATTCAGAGTTTCTGTTTGTGAATTCAGGATTTCTCTTGATAGATTGCTTTCTGGCCCCCAAATCAAGAACTCTGTTTTCCCCACTTGGCCTGCTTCCTGTGAGATAAGCCAGGCCAACTCCAAGCTTTTTTCTTTTCCCACCAGTGTTTGATGCTGAACCAGCACAGTTCAAGGACCAAATATACTTGTTGTGCTTTTTCAGGCTTGCAAATCCATCACAGATGTTATTGGCAATAGCAGTTTTCAGAGCATTCATCATGTGTTTGCAGAAGACCTGTGTTCCTTCCATCCTCTTGCTGCTTGGTGAGTTTTTTTCCTTCAACAGGTTGATTGGAAGAAAACTTTTGAATATTTAAGAAATTAATGCTTTTGCCAATATTTTGCAACACTTGCCACATGAACTATATATTCTGAATCTGGTGAATCTGGAAATTGCTGATGTAATTATATCATAGCTGGGGTTCTGCAAAATAGTTTTCATGTGTGCCAGCAAGCCTGTGCCCAGTTGGGGAGCCCTGCTGAGACCTCAACCACCATCACACCAGTGTCCAGTGAACCACAAATGCATGCCTTCAAAGCAGACTACCCTGATTACTACCAAGAATACTATGACAGTCCCAAGAGAGCCCTGCTGAGAAGGAGACCAGTGATGCCTCAACAAGCCTGGGATGACTATGACTATGACTACTATGATGAAGACCATCAACAGAGGTTCCCTTCCAAAAGATTCAAGCCTTATGCTGAGAGACCAAAGCAGAATAATAACCAGCAACAGTGGGCATCATTGAGAGCTGCTGGTGGGCCAAGGAAAAGAAGCAGACTTCACAGGAGAAGAAACTACAGGAACAGGCACCCACCTTCAGACATGGAGGAACCGGTGAAGAGGTACCGCTTGAGACCGAGTCACAGGAGGCCAAATGAACCAGAGGGCAGCAGGCACCAAATCAGGAAAAGACCTACTTTTGGAACCAAAACCAATGCCCTTTTGGGCATACACAACCACAAGATCAAGGACACTAATAATAAGAGAGTGGACATGATGGAATCAAAACATCATCATAGGTTCCAATATGGGCGCCAAAATGGTAATAGTGGAGGTCTGAGAAGGTTGCCAGCAATGGACTGCTCAAGCTTAGAAGTGGCTCCTGCTGGTGAACCTGACCCAGCTTACTATGATTACTGACCCATATAATAAGTGAGATATCCTGTATCAGCACTTCCCAGAATCACCAATGAGAAAAAAAAAAGAACATGCTCTTATTCCCATTTTCATGCATATCTTCATCTCTTTATATATATAAAAACTACCTTCAAACATCAACTCCCATCACCACACAGGGTTGCACATCATGTGTGTGCAGCCATTTCACATTAGCCTGAGGTGCTTAACCATGCCTTCCATCAGAGAGTCCACCAGAGACCCTGACACTGAACCATTGTGGTCCACCAATACCAGCACCAGCAGCACCACCACCACCACTTCTGCTCCAGTTAAAAACGCAGGCCCCAGGGTTTGGTCTTCTCATAAATCTGTGGTCATCATCACTCACCACCATGACACCAGTCTTGAGTCTCAAGATGAACCAAAAGAAATATCTACTTTCAACAGCCCTCCACAGACAAAACAGTTCTGGGACTTCATTTGAAAGCTGAGCATTCTGGCAGTGTCATTGGAACTAGAAAGCTGGTCATGGATATATAAACATATATATATACAAGTGTGTATATTTATGGCAACTGGAATCCCTATGATGGTGCAACACTGGCATCTCTGCAAAAAAAGACAGTGCTTCAAGTCAACACATGCTCATTTGGCAAACCATTGCATTTCAATAAATGTGGCTCATGCATTAATTGAAAAAATTAAACTGTTTTTATTTCACTTTTATTTTGTTCATCCAGCAGCAGGACTCTTTGCACAGATGAACCCCTTGAAGTAGTGCCAACCAGCACAAGATTCCAAGAAATCCTGATCTTGTTTCCAGGTTACAGAAGACACTTCACAGGTCTCAGGGAGATCATTGAGCAGTTTGGCAACCCTTGCTACAAACCTAGAGGCATACCTCCAAGCTGTCCTGACCCTCACAAACTCATGCCCAGACTTGTTTAGGTGTATTGTGTGGTTCATTGTACCCAAGAAATAGTCTTCCCACTGTTTGGGACTCAGACCAGGAAGGTGTCTGTAGTGGTGTATGAGCCCCACCTCCCATGGTACCCAGACATGGTGGAACTTGGTGTGTCTGAAGAAGTCCACATAGTGCACACCAACAAACAGTGTCCTCTCTATGACCCCCACAGACTTGCCAACCAACTGGGTAAAGTTGTCCATCCAGGTCTTCCTCAGAGGCCTCAGGGGAATTTCCATGAGTCCTTCATCATCATGGAACCTTGGGTGTTCCTGGTCATCAGGAAAGAATAAAGGGAAATGCTTTCTGTAAAAGAACAAGAATGATCCTCCATTTGGGAACTCTTGCTGCATGGAGTTGAGCACTTGGTCAAGAGCTTTGTCTTCACCAGGGATTATTAGTTCATCAAAGTCCAGACCAGCTGTGTACTTCATCCCCAGGGCCTGAGACCTGAAGAAACAGTCTGCCAAGGCACTGTAGGGACCAAATTCTACAGACTCAAACCAAGTGTAAGGGAACTCATAATCAGTCACCAGCACTTGCACTTCACTTTGGTTTTCTTGGAAAAACTTCATGGCCTGAATAACACAAATTAAATTCCATTTGCAAAATGACCAACAGTCACATATTCACTATATATATACACACACCTGATCAGCATAGTGCTTGAACACACATGCCACTTGTTTGCTGCAACTGTAGACATAGAAAATGAAGAGCCTCACTCCTATGACAGCATGCAGTTCTATGTATTCTATGATCTGCACAACATCCTTGAAATTCCTGCTCATGACTTTTGAGCAGACAGAAACCCCTGACCTTGTTTGATTATTGAGGCCCACTGGCTTCAAAACCTTCAGCAAATTTCCAGGACTCAACCCCAATCTTGTCTTTTCAAAAATTGACACATATTCCACAGTCTGAGACACATAGGGACATAAGATGACAAGTTCCCAGAATCCAGAGTCTTGGGGAGCATAAAATTGGGATTTTGAGGGAAACGCTTTGACCGTATAACTTTTGTTGAAATATTGGTAAATGGGTTCCAAGTCTTTGTCAAAGTAAGCACACAGAAGTCCTTCTGAACTGTTCTGGTCCAATATGGCCACCACCTTGATCACATTGTCAATCCCATCATAAAATGCAGAAAATACAAAGGATTTGTCACTTTTGCCAAGTACTGGCTGCCATTGGCCATTGGAGGAATTTCCATTGTAAGGTAAGATATGTTCCCAATATTCAGCAGCCATGTTTTTTGTGCTCTGATTGAGAGCCTTGAAGGCATTGCAGAAAACTAAGGTGCAATTGTTGATTTCATGGATTTGGTGGGTTTTGGGTAGCATTGAAATGTGCTGTAATAAGTCTTCATGGTCTGAGTTGCTCAAGAATATCACAACAAAGACCCAGATTGGGATCAAAACACTCAAGATATGAGCCCTTTTCATACTTGCATCCACTGAAATCTTGAAGACTTATTATTAGCACAGTCAAAAATATCTCACAGGATGCTGTGTGATAACAACAAAGGCCAGGAAAACAGACTGAGGAGTGACTTTTTCCCCCCATTCCAGGTTAGGGATTCTTGGAGCAAATATATCCAGTCAAAACAGTCCAATCTTGACAGCTTTCCAGGTAATCTGCATCTAATTCCCAGGTTTTAAAAGATATTTTGCACTGGATTGGCAAACTTGCAACTAGTTTAGAGACTTTGCTTGTCAATTGCTGAGAGAACTTCCACATGTTCCTGTTTCTGATAAATTTAACTTGTGCTGTTGGATGACTGGCATTGAATTTTTCACACTTGTCATTAGTATCACAGATTTTTTCAAAGTAGTCTGACCATTTTTGAGGGGATTTCCCTGGGAATATTCTGTAATGGTGTATCATGGCTTCTTTACTGGGAACACGAATTTGTTTGTATAAGTTGCTTCTTTCATGTCCTGCATCATGTGCATCAATAAACACAGCCCTTTCAACATCCACTATTGTCTTGCCCCTGATGTTACTCAAGGTGTCCATCAGAGTCTTTTTCAACACTCTAAGTCTCATAGTGTGTCCAGCAGGAGGAATGAATACACTGTCATCAGGAAGGAACAATGGAAAGTGGTTCCTGTTGGACACCATGAAAGAAGCTGCATTGGGATGAGAGTCAAAGAGCTCTGGTAGTGTCTTATTGACCCCAGGGACCAATATCTCATCCAAGTCCATCCCAGCAGCAAATTGAATGCCCAGGGCATTTGTCCTCAGTACACAGTCATTGTGAGCACTGAAGGGGGCATACTCAAACATTTCTAGCCATGTGTAAGGTAGCTCATAGTCTGTGACAAACACATGGTATGTCTTGTTGGATTCTTTGAAGAACTCCAGTGCCTGTGTATGATAAGGAACACCATATGCAAAACATATGTTTTGACTCCAGCATCAAGTGGAGTAATATTTTTATAGCAAACTTCTAAAGAATTTCAAGAAATTTGCCATTATGTGATTCCATATAAAAAGGGAGTAGTTTATTTCAAAAATTCAACAAATGGCCTTTCAATGTCAAGAACATTTTGTAAAAAATCTGAAGATTTGCCTGGAAATCAATCTTCCAAGCACAATAGAAAAATGTATTACCAAGCATAAGTATTAAATTTTCTTCAGTAAATGATGCTTTCCTCAAGAAGCACTTTTTGAACCAACATGACCAATTCTTTCAAATTCATTTGTTCTAAAATGGCAAAAATATTCTATTCTGACTTGAAAAATATCCAATACTCTGCTCAGTGCAGAATTATTTACTCATCCATTTTCCTGAACTCTTGTAGAATACTTACTTTCAAAAATCAGTTTGAAAACAAATTTTCTGAAAATTGTTGATGTGAGGTAAACTTATTTCCTGCTAGGATGATGCAAATTTAGGTTTTCTTCATTCAGATGTACCCTCCCAGCACTTATAAAATATGTTAAATTGACCTACAAGAATTATGTATTTAGGATAAACCACCTCTAAAAAGGTGCCAGAGTTTTATTGATCCATTAAATGTATTTTTGGCATTAACACCTACAATGACTGAATATATCTTGATTCTAAAAAGGAGATTTTAGGAAGAGATGAGAGTTCATGCATGGCAAAAATATTCCACTTACATCCTTGGCTAAATGCTTGAGTAAACAAGCAACTTGAGGACTACACCCATGGACATAGAAGATGAAGACTTTGAAACCTATCAGTGCATGGTACTCTATGAACTCAATCAACTGGACAACATCCCTGTAATTTCTTGACATTAATTTGACACACATTGTGATCCCTGATTTTTCAACACCAGTTGGTTGGATAACCCTGAGACAGTTTCCAGGAGGATGCTTTGTTTTATCATCATGTGGAACAATTGAGACAAATGCAGTTCCCTTGGGTACATTTGGACAAATTATGGCAAGCTCATACATGCCAGAATATTGCAACACCCAGGCTTCAACTGTTGCTTTTTCTTTAGTATTTTCTAATAACACAGGTTTCTTGTCAGTGTTGTAAAATATGCATGTGAGGTTGTCAAAGTTGTCCTTGTCTAAAATGGCTATCACTTGAATAGTGTTATTGACAACATTGTAAAATGCTGAGAAGACATGGGACTTTTTCCTGAGTCCAACAATTGGCTGCCATGAACCATTTGTTGAATTTCCAAGTGCTGGTAACATTGCTTCCCACTGCTCAGAACTCATGTTCACTGTTGACTGGTTCAAGGATTTAAATTGGTTGTAAAATACCAAGGCTTGCAGATTTTCCATTGGATCAAAGATTTCAAATTTAGCAAGTCCTTCTTTACCCAGAAATAGTTTTGTCACCAGAGTTGGTAGAAGCACTAGAACCGGGATCCATTTCCTTGAGAGTCCCATTTCAACTGAAGGAAAAAACAGGTTTGTCTCTAAAAGAACATTTTATTGGCTAATTTCTGCCCTTGCTTTTTGGCGCATAAAATGCCCAGCTGTTTTCACCTTTTAAATAATTTCTCTGTAACCACAGCAGACATGCACAGACACATATTTTTCTTCAAAAGCGTTGCACAAATTCAACATGAGCATAGCCTATGATTTTTTCCATAATTGCATAAAAAATAAATTAGACACCTAATATTTATTTTTAGGAATTTGAATTGAGGAAATGCTAAGGAATGTTGTTAATCTCACAAAGTCATCAAGCTTGAGCACAAATTCATTTGGGGCTGAAAATCAGTTTTCTTGATTTGAAATTATGGGGTCAACTGAAATAGTACTGTATTTAAAAAAAAACAGCATGATAATAGCTAAAAATTGAGGAGTATTTTGACTCAAAATTTAATCAATGACAGAAAGCTCTACATACCATCAAAAGGAAATTAAAATTATTTGAAACCATCAGTTGATGAAAGTAATCAGTAAATCTAAATTTTTCCTTCAAGCCAAATAAAGTGCCTGAGTCACTTCTATATTATATATTTCTATTGTCTCCTACCACCTGCTAGATGGCAGGTCAAAATGGTCCCTTCTGCTCATGGAAGCCCGTTTCAATCAATCAATTCCCAACCCATCCCCTGAACATTCAAGTCATTTATTCACCAGTCATTTAGTCACTGGGTGAATTTTTGAGTGGGGTAAGTTATAATAATGAACAGTTGAAAAATTGATAAATCATGAGCAAAATAAAACTTTGTTTGGATTAACCTTGAAAATTATATTCAATATACTGTTTTTGTGTTTTATTCTTCATGCATTTACAGTATTTGAATGAAAATGCAACAGTGCATGCTGTTGGCAGATACGGATTATATACTTTTGAATCACATTTTCTTCAATGTGATTTATTTTCAATAGAGTTGGATAAATGATTTTTCCAAGTCGTTGGTTGGTTCATAAAGGAAAAATTGGACCATGAATGCTGACTCCTGAAATGGAAAGTTTTCAACGGTTTCAAAATTTTGACAATTTTCTTAAAATACACCCTGCGACAAGAAGTTTGGGTTTCAAAATGTAGATGTTCAATGCAGAATTAATGGGTTCCTTTGGGAGGATCACGTTAGCGATGCCACAATATATTTTTCATTTCAAGGGAAGCGACATCTATGTCATTGGAAAAAGACGAAATGCCGATATTTATAGAGAATAACAATAGAACAAGCTCGCCTACAAACACCATGCATTTTGTCCTTCAAAAATTAAAATTGGCCCACAGCACAGACGTAACTTACATAGTTAATAGTTATGCACTATCCTTCAGCTAATTTATAAGTATTTATAATTTGGCACGTACAAAAATAATTCGATATATAGATAGATCCCTTGTTGAGAACAAGCGCCGGAATTGTTCATTTCAATTAATCGCGCAATTTTTTTCAATTGAAACTTTGTATCCCAGTCTGAAATTTAAAAAATCGAGATTTGAGTTTCCTCCTTGAACGCATATAAAATCCTTCACGCTGCACTTTCTTGAAATACAGATTTTCGAATTGGTTAACTATAATTACTGTACTGTGCTGTATATTATACATAATGTGTGATGTGTACATCAATGTATATCTACATTTCTTGTGCATAATATTCTCGTACAGCTAAAGCAGTTGTGCAATTCACGGAATTCTTCCTGCATATATTTTCGGTATACAGGTATACATACTGTATTGAAAAATGCACGGAGAACGAGACTTTTAGCGACATCTGTGTAGCAAATAAAGCAGAAATTCGGGACGAGCTTGAATTTATGTCCGCGGGGAAGCGCTAGATACTGCACGGATTCATATAGCTGCTGAAATACCTTGTCCCTGCAGCTGGGAGTCGTAGCGGGCCCCTGTAATCCAGCGATTGGAGGCTAAGGTCGGTGGATGGTGTGCGGTCAGGGGTTCTCGCTGCTGGTGGTACCATGACGATCGGGCGTCCGCGCTAAGCTTGGCGTCAATATGGTTCACCCGGAGGAATCCGGGAGGACCAGGTTGTGTGAAGCGGATGGAAACCGGGCCAGGGGGGAAACCCAGCAGCCAAAACCTCCCGCGTTAAGCAGTAGTGGGACGGCGCCTGTGAATGGACCCTGGTAACGAGCCTGACCTACACTCGCTAGACCCGACTTTTTCGCGATTTTTTCTCCGAAAAACATTTGAAAATTTTGAGATAATCTTCGTAATTCTTCGTTATGTCTTCGATTTTTTTAATGGAAGATATGAATGGAGTGAACTTGGCTCGCTTCATCATTGCAGCGCGCGTTCGAATCCAACCCGCTCCTCTTTTTTTCTTGCTGAGCGGGATGTACAGTATCCTTTCGGTATTGTACTGTATTGCAAAGCAATTACTGTGCCAAAGCACTGCCACCAATATATTGAGTGTTTCTGTTTCAGTCTCTCGCTCAATTCCTTCTCTGCGACTTGGCAAAGTCAGTATAAATGGCATTGACTTTCATATTACACGGCATGTTTAAAAAGAAATAAACCGAAGGATGACTAAACAGGTAGAATGAGCTTCTTCGGCATCCGCGAGTTCAAATCATCCCGACACGCGGCGCGACAGCCAATAATCATAATTTCGGATGAGAAAACTTATTACACATAATTTAAAGATTTCCACGCGAAGAAATACAATTCGAGAACGCACAAAAGTTGTATCGAGATATATGTTGAATATTGTACTGCACACAACAGCAGGAAAGACCGATTTACAACCACCCCGAAAAATGTGTGCCGGCAGAGGGATTCGAACCCTCGCTCCCGGAGAGAATGGTGCTTTGAACCATCTCCTTAGAAACATATAATTCTGTGAAGCGTTGTAGCAGGTATGTAGCTAATGACAACCCTTCGGTTTTTAAGCGACAATCTGCTCAGCATCGTCATCTGCATTTCTGTAAAACTTAGTGTTTTTTTGTGTCATATATACAACTATCATGAAGGAAGACAGGAAGATGATGTAATAATGCGAAAAGCACAGCACATGATGCATGCTGCTCATTAAATATAGACATACATCCCCAGGGATTTTCTATTTGAGTGACATTTACACTCAAAATAGCCGCTTGAAAATACAATGAAAAATAATTATACACACCATTTAGTTTGCCATTATTTTGGGCATGGGAGGGGGATGCCTATTTTGAGTGACATCATCATGTCTG